TTCCTTTGCATCAGCCTCAAAGGTAGGATGTGGGTAGCAGACAAGTGCTTAGGGCAGCAAGTTGCTTCGGATGGCAAAACTGTCCACCTTAGTCCTGCCAGGGCAGCACTGCTGGGGGCGGGAGACAGGGAAGGGAAGAGGGTGCCCTCATGCTCAAGTGAGATAGCCGCTATCTTGGGCTTCCCTCACTCTGTTGACCACTCAGACACTCTTGGGGAGGGCAAAAATTTTGCCAATGTGTGAGAGCCTCTAGACGGCCCACAATGGTCTAAGAATGGTTTCCAACCCACACAGAAACCTGTGGCCCCACTGCTCCCTCTCTGAGCAGTACCCCAGCGTCTGGTGCCTGCCTCTTCCCTTTCCCCTACTCCACTCTCTCCCTTTTCCTTCCTCCCTGTTACCCACCGGGTAGGCCTCCCACTCTGGGGAAGGTGCAAGGCCTTGGCCCCAGGATGCCAGAGGCATTCTGGGCTGCAGGGGCAGAGCTCTGCCCCTTCCAGGAGCGACGAGCTGTGCCTGCTTCATGTCTCCTTCCACCAGGAGGGCGCTGGTAGAGTTTGTCTTTTAGATCTGTGATATCTTTTGGGGCTCTCAAAACTGCTTTAAGTGAGGCTGTTGGAGCATGAGAACTACCGGCATCACATATCTGAGAAATCACCGGCACTTTCAGTTTGAAAGGAAATAATTCTAAGAGCCAGGGAGAGGCTTGGGTGCTGTCGGGAAGTTCAGCCAGGAGCGCTGGCATCGGGTGCCTCAGCGCCGCAGCTGCTTTCTCACCGCTGCCGGCAGACGCGTGCGAGGGGTTTGCAGCTGGAGCTTCCTGCCAGGGCTCCGGGACAGCTCCGTGCTCACGTGGATGACGAGCGGTCAGCCTTGGGGCTCCCGCGGCGTGTGTCCGCTCACGGAGGGGCGCTGGGCCGCGGGGATGGAGGCACCGGGGGGCCCTGGGGCGCAGGGCAGGGCTGTGCCCCGGCCAGCGCTCCAGGGCAGGGCTGTGCCCCGGCCAGCGCTCCAGGACAGGGCTGTGCCCCGGCCCCCGCCCCACTGACTGGCGGGACCCGGCTCGATGTGACCCGCTAGCGATGGGACCCGGGAGCCGCGCCGGCAGCCTCGCTCCTCGGGCTTCGAAGGGTTAACCCCTGGCGTGCGGTGCCGCCCGTCACCGGGAGGAAGGGGCAGACCAAGGCCTGGCGACGGTGGGTTCGAGCTATTCGGGCAGGAAAGGGTTTGTTAGGCTGCGGTCCCTTCAGGACGGGAAAAGGAAGGAAAAAAGACTGGGCTCGTGGCAGTAGAAGAGCCAAAACTGCGGCACACAAAGCAGTTGGGAAATACAGCGAGGCTGGGAGAGCTCCGCCGGGGTGTGCGGGGCTGCTCCCTTCGGCGACCGATGGTCTTTGGCCAGATCCCAAAGGTACCCTGTGCCCTTTAGGAACTCGCTTGCAGCACGAAAGCCAAATCCCAGCGGCTCATCACTGATGCATTCCCAGGGGGTTTGTGCGTTCAATGAACACCGTGCAGGGAGCGAACTGCAGAGACGCGCCGGCGGCAGCAGCTCCCCTCCGGTGGGTGCTGCCGCAGGTCTCCCAGCTCTCCGTAGAATGGCTGAGAGTGAGGAGCTCAAGTGCAGCCTTGCTCCCGACCTGCCTTCTTTGGGCTGGGGAAGGCAACAGCTTGGGAATTCGGAGGTCGCAACTGTCCCTGGCCCTCGTGGAGAGAAGCTGGGACGATCCATGGGAAGAAGACTTGGCCGCCTTGCAGTCTTTTGTAAAAGAGAGCAGAATCCCAGGCTCAGAGGCACAGGCTCCTACCACTTACCTCTCCAGTCCCAGTGCCTGATTCCTGACCTCTTTGGCAAGAAGAACTTTTCTTGCTGTACGATTACACTGCTACCTTTGCAGCTCTGGTGGCCGGTATAAAGGGAAGGTTCAGGTTTAAATTGGGACGAGGATGCACAAGAGCAGCAGCTTCAATGTAACCAAGGGAAACTCTTAGAAAACAACCATTACCAATGAGCCCTTTCCATGCATTAAGATAAGACGGTCATTATTTGGGAATGCAAAATCCATGCTACAAAGCTAGTAAATGTCAGTTACACAATTATCTCAGGAATCTTTATCTAGTTCCCACGTGTGTAATGCTGATTTCATGAAAAATTCACACATTATTTTCTTCATATGATCCTGACTTGCATCCTTAATCTGACATTTTGCAGGCTTTGAGTGATTGATTAAAGCATTTAAATAACATACTTCAAACATAAGGGTGGTGGTTGTTAAATACAATTATTTTTACATTTTGATTAATTATAAATGGATATTATTAATAGGAGAACAAAATTTGTTTATAGGGGTTTGATTTCTACAGTCACCAGGAATAAACAGAGCAGGTAATGAGTTTGTCAATAAAATGCCAGCCTTAGGCATACACCAGATTTAGCACCACCCTTTCTCTTTGTATCACACTTCCTTCCTCCCACCAGCTCAGCCCACTCAAAACCTGCATAATTTCTTATAAAAGGATTTGCCTGTTTCTGCTCAGTTTTCTAAAGCCTTTATTTCCTAAATATGCTCCTCAGTGGGAACACTCCTATTGGATTTCCAGGCCCATTTTATCACTCTTAATGGCATGGGTGGGGATGGAAGAACTGAAAAAGTTGGGCGTTGATTTCAAGAGAAGGGAAGAGGCCCACAGTGAACGATGTGTGAACAGGAGGGTGGAGAGAACAGGATAGCGAGTGGGAGCCTCTGGGTAAACAGACTATGTTGAAGAGCAGTGTGGTCCCTGGGCACGCCCCTGGAATAACAGGTACTGACTGCTCTTCCTCCACTTCCCCCTTTTAAAGGTTTTATTCAGAAGCGAAATGAGGGGGAGAGGAGGATAATTGTTTTTCTTGCTTATTTAAGGTTCCTCAATCTCTAACAAACTTTAGTTCCCCAATACTTAGATTTTTAAAAAATAAATAGCCAACAAACAAAAGGATTTTTCTGCAAAACCTCACTTGTAATTTGGGCATCTCTGCTTCAAATGACATGTACTTTTTTAAAGTTAAGATTTCCCAATCTAACTTGCATAGGAACATCTTCAACACAGCAGTCAGGAGATCTACCTCTTTCCAATAAAGGACATTTTTTGCACTTAGAGACCAAAGCAACACTTTTTTTTTCAGCTGTAATACGCAGTTGGCTCGTTTCTGTGATATTCACAAACACCATCAGGTTTCCTTCAAAACTAGTCTGTCTTTTCCCCCTGAAAGATTATCAAAGACTTACTTCTCCTCCATGTGATATATTTCATTTTTCCAAAACTCCAATATCTTTGATTGCCTTGGCATTACTTCTTTATCCTTCTATATGTTTGCAACATCATTACAATTAATGTCAAACAGTAAATTTTGTTTGGGTGATGTTTCCTCTGTTTGGCCTATTAACTAAAACAGATCTGACAGCTGGGAATTGGGCACTTCATCCCTTATGGCAGCAAGAATTTCGAACAAGCTATCCCCCAATCAGCCCAGAAATTCCAAGAAGACAGGTCCTAAGCCCACCAGTGCTTTCTGCCTTTCTGAACTTTGGCTGTAAGATTGTAAAAGCCCAACAAAAGTTTTGCTTATGTACCAGCTAATATACCTGTAACCTTTTTATATGGATTCCTCAAATACACTTATGTAAGACGTGACAGAAGGTACCTTTAAGCTTCTCAGTGATCTGAGAACCAACCACTCAATTTGATATCAATTCAACAGAGTTCAATTTTGCAGAAGTTTAAATCTGTCTAATTAGACACTTCCCTTTTTACATCCCTCATGGACTCCCCAGCCATATTGTCACACATTCTCAGTAATGTCACAATGCCTAGGGAATGCAGATTGCTGCAATGACTGAGCACCTTTCGAGGCCAAGACCTCCAACACAGAAATTCCAGCCCAGGGCTACATAATGGTCCAGTTTACCACCAGCTTTTGTTTAAATTTTAAATTAGTTTCCATTACATGTGATCTGCCTTTGCCCTAGTCAACCTGAAATTATTTTTCAAGACTGCACGAGAGGCCTGGCTTTCCTCACTGATGGAGTTGCAGCCCCCGGTTTCAGCTGCCACCCAAATCAGCCAACCTGCACACACAACCCATGCTGCCCTGGAGCTCAGGGGGGGTTCTTTATGTATTTCTTCTTTTTCAACATTTGCTCCATCATTTCACTGTATACCAAATATAGACTTTCTGGATAAGAATCTCCAGAATCACCACCTTCTGCCTAAACCACGCAGGGCTGTTATATTTAAAGGTATTAGTGACCACATCCCTACGCTGACGGGCCTTTATTTAACTCTTTCGGCTCACACGTAGCCTCAGGAAGTTTCCAGGTAACTCCGGGACTGGTGTGAGTGCAGTTCCGTGGGCGCCCGGCAAACACTCCCGTCCCCAGGCGCTCTGCCGGGTCCGAGAGCCTTGTGCGGGCGGCAGCAGCACCCACAGCGTGAGAAATCCTTTCGAACCCCGGCATCGCACCGTCGGCGTTCGCTCCAGTTACCGCCAGAACATCGCGCCCCGCCGCACGCGAACCCCCGCTCCGTGATTTACAAATGCTGCAGGGCGGAAGGCGGAGGAAGGACGAGGAGCCGCGGGAAGGGCGACGGGAGCGGGCGTGCTCGCGGGAAGGCGCTCGGGGCGCGGGCACGGCACGGCCGCCGGAGGCGCTACCGCGCGGCCCCACGCGCGAACGGCGTGTTATCCCTCGCGCACGGCCGGGGGAGGGGCGGGAAGGGCGTGGCCGGCGGCGCCCGGGGAGCGGAACTGCGTCGGCGGGCGGCTCCGGCCAATCGGCGGCGTGCCGCTGGCGGGGCGTCGCGAGGCAGCTGCACCGCGCGGCCGCCGCCGGCCCCCTCTGCCCCCCGCGCTCCGCCCGCACGGCCGCGCTCCGGTACCGGCCTCGCGGGGGCGGGAGAGAAGCCAGGGCAAGGGGCAGGGGAGCGCGCGCCGCCCACGTGATGGGCCGAGGCGGCCAATGAGGACGGCAGGAGGTCGCGCGTGGCGGGCGAGGGCCGCGTGGGCCGGGGCGTTGGCGGGCGGCGCGCGGAGCCGGCGGCGCGCGGACTCAGGTAGGAGCCGCCGCGCGCCCCCCTCCTCCTTCCTCGGAAGTTTTCACTCGAGGTGGCGCGAGGCGTGCGCGCGTCACGTGAGCGCGGCGGCCGCCCAATCACGCGCGCGCGCGCCGCCCGTCCGCGCGCTGCCGCCGCACCCGCGTTTGAGGCGAGGGGGTCGCGCGCGGGACGGGAACGGGACCGGCGGCCGCGCGCTCTCTTCGCGCTCCCCCGCGCCGCTCCGTCCAGGGGCGCGAGCGGGCGGCCCCCGGTGGCGCGGGCAGTGGGTAGCGGCCGGAGGTCACCTGACCGGGGGGGTTGTTAAAGGGACCGAGCGGCATCCGGGCTCTCCGGCCGGGAAGAGTCGGGTGAGGCCGGGCCTCGGGCAACCGCCGCTGCTCCCTAAGCCGTCGCGCTCCCGGGGACCGGCCCCCGGCAGGGGCGTGGTCGGCGCCACCTATGAGCCGGGGCTGGGCTGACGGGAGAGCCTTTCCCGGGAAGCGGCCCCGGTGCCCCCTGGGTGCCAGAGGCCGGCGGGCTGGGCGGGGGCGGAGCGGGGCCCCTCGGCCGGAGGCGGGGCGGCCCGCGGGCGGCGCGCGTGCGCCCCGGCACGTCGCGGGGGGCGGCCGCGGGGCCGCGCGGGGCAGAGGTCATTGGTGACCTGTGGTCCCGTCCTGTTTGAAACTCCTCGTACCGAGCTGATGCGGGTAAAAGGCAGTCGAAGCACGAAGCCGAGCTCAGTGAGGAGTAGGTAGGCACGAGGGCCAGCGGCTGTTTCAGCAGCCCGGGGAAATGAGTAGCTTCCCATTACGTGGTTGGAGCTTCTTGCCTGACTTATTAAGATGTCAAATCTTGCACAACAAACACGCTGCCTTGTTCACGACGTGAACTGTGTTAAGGCATGGGCTGTCTGTAATCGCACTTGATGGGATGGGCTAGAGCCCCGAAGATTTGAAGTTGCTGCAGACACTGAAAACCGAGGGCGGTGTAAAGAAGAGGGGCAGGCTGATGCTTTGGACTTGTCGCTTGCAGGTGTTCTGCCCGATGCAGCTGTAGCACCCTTTCAGTGCCCTCGGGCACAGTGCCTTGTGAATCTGTACTGAGGACTGGAAAGGGAAATTGATTCTGCTTGAAAAGTATTCCCATAGGTGAGCACTTTTGTCCATCTTTATATAGGGAAAAACACCATATTTCTTAGGTCTGGTGAAGATGGGCAGCATTTGTTCACTTCTCTATTTCATCTAACAGCAGCTGGCTGTTAACCTCATCCATGGTTGGCTCAGTATTGGTGCAGGCGCTGTTGTACCTTCCATGGAGGGGAAACCTGTAACTGGAGGAAATCGCTTGTGAATAAACTTGTTTGGTCACCTTCCAGGAAAGAAAAAAAATTCTTTCTCTTTCACTGTAGGCTACTTCATTTATACACAAATGCATTAAATCGTTTCTGAAGTTTTTGGTTGCTTTAAATCTGGTTTCCTAAGGAATGGGAAGTCCAAGACATTTTCTTTACAAACACAATGAAATAGGTCTCTGCCTAGTGGAGTGAGAAAGAGTTCTTCTCTATGAGGAGGCTGTTGTCTGTTTGCTGTTTCATAGGCAGCAGAGGATCTACCAAAAAAAACTCAGCCATAGCACATGCATAGAGAGCAGTGCCATTAGCTGCAGCACCAGCAGGGCTTTCCACTTGTCTTATTCTTCCATAACTAAGGATGTGTTGTGCTGTGTTGGTTTGTTGTTTTTTTAATCTTTCTTAAGACTGGGTCACCTTAGAACAAAGAATCCAGTTATGATGGTGGAGTTGCTCTTCTCTGTCGACACAAAGATGGAATGTGCTTTCACTGTTGGATTATAGCTAGTTTTAGTACCTGGGATAAATAGTTTGCTGAACTGGATAAGGAAGAATGCAGTGAGAATGATATGTGTGAGGAGGATGATGAAAGCACGTCAAAAGAAGAAAGCAACCAGAAGAAAACTATTTTGTTTTAGTCTTTTTTTTTTAAAAAAAGAAATCAAGCCTAAAACAGAAAGGCATTAAAGGAATGTGAACAGCATAAAAGAGAGAAAATGAATGGGAGTCAGAGAAAACCTATCTACAGTTAAAAGGCATTCTTTATTCCAGTCACTATCTTCAGGAAAAGCCAATTTGGAGAATGACAAGACTGTGACTGTTAAAGAAATACTTGTGATGCTTGAATTGTGCTGTTTTGCTAACTCTTGTACAGTGCTTTCTCTTAATGTGGCGTGGTCTGCCTGACCACAGGGTAAGTCAATAAACAGTGATGAAGATGGATATAAACCTGGAACACATCTCCAATGGACTGGACTTTGATCAGCTTCACTTGTTTTTTTCACCATAACTTGAAAGGTTTCCTTGGAAGTTCTAACTTACTGAGCCACTGGTGACTCTGTAGCAATGAGTGTTGCTATAAAATAGCTAGATGAGTAGGATAGTCCTGAGCTCAGGTGAGGGCTTTCTATTTGTCTCTTGTTTTTTCTTCTATGATGTGGATGAGATCCCCAGCTGAAGATTCATGTATGTGATAAATGTTCCTCATGATGGCCATAAAGGGATTGAAATTCATCAAAATGGTGCTATTCCTGCTGATTATGGCTAGTTTCTGCCAGTGTTGCATGGCAAAAAGCATCAAGCATTGCTTTATTGTTTTATTTTGTGGTTTTTGCTAGTTGAAATAATAGTATAGTAAAAATACAGAATTCATTGAATGTATGAGTAATGGGCATATCACAGACTGATGAAGTATGGGAAGTGATGTAAAATACATTAACCTAAATATAACATGTTGTACAAAGATAAAAAAGAACATTTATTTCTAGTTAACATTGGCTTTTCCCCCTGCCCTCTCACAAAAGTGGTTCATTCTTCACAGAAATCACAGAATCATTTAGGTTAGAAAAGACCTCCAAAATCATGGAATCTGACCTTTGGCTCATCACCAGCTGTCACCTAGACCACGGCACTGAGTGTCACATCCAGTTTGGTGTGTTTCCATTTTGCTATCTTCAGTGTTTGGGAAGTGTTTCCCAAAAGTTCAGGTAATTCTTGAGAGATGCATTTGTATATGCATTGTACATTGCAGGATTCATGCTGTTTGACACACTACTGACTCTGGGGAGCTGGAATGGACTCCGTGGCATGGTATGGGTATTGGAGAGGTGAAGCAGGAGTTTCTCCCTTTCTTGCACCCCTCCAGGTTTGTGCCCTGTTCCTCAAAAAGCAGCTGCTCCTCTTGCAGGTGTGTAGCTCAGTTGGGGAAACACTTCCCAAACTACCACCTATTCATCCTGCAATAGTCAGGGCTCTGAGTGTGATGTGAGTTTGGTTTTAGTACAAAGCAACGCTCTGGGCTGAAATCTGGCAGTGCACAAGCTGTGTCAGGCTTATTATGGGGATAAGTGCTTTCTGACTGCAGCTGGAGCATGTGTTTCTGCATGTTTGTATCAGCAAGAAAGCTAAAAAATGTTTTAAAAATGTCTGAAAAACATTTTTTTTCCTGCAACAGTCCATTTCTTACAATAATTTTTTTTTTAGTCTCACTTTTTTTCTAGATTCTGCCGTCACTTTCATCTTTTATCTTCCTAGCACTGAAATATACTTTTTCACTAAAGCAAGAATTTAAGTTAGTTTCCTGTCAAAAATAACATTATGCAAACTTTTCTTAGGGTATATTTGGGCTGGGGTTCTGTTGCTTAAAGACAGAGGTCTGGAGCTGCCATATGTGGTGCTAATTATTAGAGACATCCTTGTACAGCAAACATTCAGCTCTGGGAGACTACTACTTGTCTGGAGAAGCGGTTGGAGGCCAGTGGGGCTGGTTTTCACATAGAGAAAATGGGACCAGATACTTTTCTATGTGCAGAGTTTGGGTTGGATTAACAGAATTTCCTGTGGGTTGCTACTTTTAATCATTCTCCAAAGTGGTAAAACATTGTCTAAAAGAATTTTTTTTTGTATTTTAACTCTTCTAGTGTGCGCATTGCACAGAATTTCTGGCTGTAACATAACTAGGTTTTCAGCTCTTTGAAGACCTGTGGATTTTAGTTTTTTGCTTGGTTTTTGCCCTTTTATTTTTTTTCCCCCAAATGTCCAAAACGTGGGATTTTTGAGCCCAGTCAGGTCTGTGTGGTCGTAGGTAGTGGTAAACTTGTAGACTGCTGTAATAAACTGCTTACTACTGCTGTGGGGGTGTTACACCGGCACAGCTGGTTTTGATAGCTCTCGTTTCCAGGTAGTGAGTGTAGTTCCAGCTAGTGCTTGTTTTTAGCAAGGGAATTTATAGGAGCTGAAAGCCTCCTTTATGCTCCAGTAATGTTCCTGGTAGTGGTGCCTTTCATACTATGCTGTGGGACAGAAATGTCCTGTCACGTATCTACATGTGTAGTAGCAATCTTTGTGTTCAGGGGATTGCTAACAAAAAAAGTAATTGACACCTCTTGTGTGTTTTTCACAAGTTGGCAGCTGTTCTGTTTTGCTTAACTATGTATAGTTACATGTGTATATACATATCTACTTTACAAGGTATGTTGTTCTCCCACGTCTACATCTGTAGCAAAGTCTGGGACTTGTGACCCTCCAATTCCTCGTTTGTTACTGAATCTTTACTACAGGTTAGACTTAAGAGTGGCTGAAGGACATTTTGTTGCTGCAGCTCTAATAGTTACAGTCTCTTATTGTAGCACGTAGGCTCCAGTGGGTGCTTTATAGTGATATGTAGGCGTTACTGAAAACAGGAGTGTGATTTACTGGGTGCTGAAATGCAGCTTGTAAAGACTGTAGTTCATGTCTTCAAGGGAATATGCCTGAAAGAAGCATTTGGGGAAAGAGTATATGCCTTGGTAGTTGTAGTGGTTTAGATTTGTCAATTCCGTTTCTTGGCCAACGCACCAAATAAATGTTGTGGCTTTAAAGCAGTAACTAAAAAATTACTAGAAAACTTACTTATTTCTTGCTATGAGATATGGATTAGAACAAGAACAAAACAGGCTTAAAACTTAATAAAGAAAGTTTATTAACAGAACTACAAGAATAATAAAACCAGAATAACTTCCAGAAAACTTCTTTTTCTCTCACTACCTAACTATTCCCTTGTTCACATGACAACATAGAGACGAAAAACTTTGGAACTTCAGTGTTTAAAACAGTCCCAATTCCTGCTAGAGTCTTTTCATCAGTCTTTGTAGAGAAACAGAAGTCGTCTTCTGCTAATCTATGTAGTTTTTCACAAGAAAACTATTTCTGTTATAGTCTTCTATTTTTCTGCTGCCAGCTGCCTGGAAAAAAAAAATCTGTCATCAGTCCACTCCTCCCATTTCACATCACTCTGAGGTGTGTTATGGGTCAATGAGTATAGGGATGTCATTTTTAAGGACGAGTTATTCAAAGGCAAAAGTTCTTTTCATCTGTCTCTGTGAGCTTCTCTGGAAAACAGAAGTTTTCTCTTTGCTTCAAGCGGCCTCAAAT